GCGTATACCTGTGAGATTGAGTCAACCGTCCTTCCGTACCCTCTCCATCTTCCTCTCTCGCCAATACTCAGGGTTGGACGTAACACTTTCTCGTACACGAAAAACTGATACCCCTACATCTCTACAAACGAGAAAAAATCGGTTACTCGGTTGGAAAAAACTAAGATAATACGATGGCGTTTGAAAAATTATACTACGATCCGTCGCATAACGCGGGCTATTCGGCGGTGGATAGTCTAACTCGTGCTGTTAAACCGAATTTCTCAGGGGGAGAAGTCGTGCGCTGGCTCGAATCGCAAGACGCGTACACGTTGCACCGACCATTGCGTAGAAAATTTCCATGATTGCATTACAACGTAACGAACATCGACGATGTGTGGGAGGCAGATTTGATCGAACTCCGAAATCTAAAAAGTTACAACGACGGTTATTCCTATCTGATAGTGATTATCGATGTACTAAGTAAATACGTATGGGTAGAACCGTTACGCGATAAAACGAGTAACTGCGCGATAAAAATTTTTCAACGCGTACTAGCGAAAAGCGAAGGACGAGTACCCGTATACCTGCAAACGAACAAGGGTAAAGAATTTGTCGCGCAATCAATGCAGAAATTTCTTAAAGAAAACAACATTCGTTTTCGAGTAACGCGCAATCCAGACGTCAAAGCCGCCATCGTCGAGCGCTTCAACAGAACACTGAAGGAACGAATGTGGCGTTATTTTACGCATAAAAATACGCGACGCTACATCGATGTTCTGCTGGACATTGTACACGCTTACAACCACACGCGTCACTCGTCCACGAGAATGCAACCTGCGGTAGTAACGAGAGAAAACGCACGTATCGCTCGTGAAAATATAGCTCGTCGTTGGAAAAACGAAACGTTAAAGAAACGGGTGCGAAAGGTTAAATATCGCGTCGGAGATCACGTTCGTATCAGTAGAGCGAAAGGTGCCTTCGAGAAAGGAAACGAGGCTAAGTGGAGCGAGGAGATATTTCAAATTTACCGTGTTCTCGATTGGCGAAACCCTCGCGTGTACGAACTGCGAGATTTAGCAGGCAAAGTCATAGACGGTATTTTTTATGAGCAAGAATTAGCTCGAGTTGAGAAAAACGTAGAGGAAGAACAGTTTATCGTCGATCGCGTGATAAAGAGTAAAGGACGAGGAGCTAATAAGCAAGTGCTTGTTAGTTGGCGAGGTTATCCCAGTAAGTTTGATAGTTGGATTCCGGCTTCGAGTTTAATTTCTCTTCGCGATGGAGGAGGAACAATTTCTTCTGGTACTTCCGAGTAACAGCAGTATGCGTCATTTTCCGGATAATACAACTTCGTCCTTCATCACGGAATTACCTCACTCTATCGTGTTACACGGACAATGGGAGGTTGCGATAACCGAGATTCAATTTCCCTGTACCTTTTTACACATACGTCATGAGGAAAATGTGATCAGATTCGTCGATGTTAAACGCGATGAGGGGACGAAAGGTGCGTTTACGGCGAAAGAAGTTGCATTTCCAAATGGAATTTACAACGATATCTATGAGCTTATCGATGCGATTAATATCGCGTGTAAAGAGGCCGAATCGCATTTTTATTTTGAACTGCAAAAAGCGTCTGGCGGTAAAGTCATGATAAGTATTAACTGCGACGAGAAGTGCCAAATGCTCCATCATATAAACTTTTCCGATAATCTTCTACGAATGCTAAGTTTCTCATCAGCAATTTCCACAAATAATTATCCACTTTATTCCAAGCTCGCGATACGTAAATCTAATTCCAATGAAAAGGAAGAGAAAACTTTTCTTACTCATGGATTTAATAAGGAGACGGGAAAACGACTTGCAGACCTTTACTGGAGTACCGAACCCTATAGTTTGTGGCGCGGTATCCCCGATAAAATGTTTGTTTATTGCGATATTTGTGAGCCTTATATAACAGGTGATGTACGTACTCTTCTTCTCAGGATAGTTCCGGTCGAGATACACAGCCATAATTACGCATTTGGTGCAAAGGTGAAGCATTTCTCATTTCCAAATTATATCCCATTGCGACGAACGAATTTCAGAACGATCGAAATAGATATAAGAGATCATTTTGGAAAAAAAATTCCATTCGAATTCGGAACGCTGACAGTGACGCTGCACTTTAAACGTAAGCAATAACTTTTCTTTCGTATACGCGAGCGTGTCGGTATAGCGACAGTCTTTAGTTAGAAACTAGCTATGGAGTATGAGGAGAATTTTGATGCGCGGCGCATCAGTGGCCGAGGTGGAATTCCACGTGTTTTCGTCAGTTCGCCCTACCAACGCGGACATGGAATCGGAAGCTTTCTCGGTGGACTGTTCAGAAAAATATTATCTTACCTAGGTAAAGGTGCACGTGCCGTCGGAAAAGAAGCTTTACGTGCGGGAATTAACGTAATAGAAGACGTCGAAAATAATAAGCCGTTGAAGGAAGCGGTCAAAAGTCGGCTCGCGGAATCTAGGGGTAATCTGAAGAGAAAAGCCAAAGAAAATATAAGTTCCCTGATGAGGGAGTCGGGATATAAAATATCCGCAAAGTCCGCAGCACTTCAGTTTCCATTCGGAGGTCGGAATAATCGTATCGCGCTTCGTAAACGACGTCGGGCAGTCAAAAGAAAATCATCGAGAAGTAGCACAGGGAAGAAGAGCAAAAAAGTGACGAAGAAGAAAAAGAAAATTCGCGCTGCAGGAAGAAAAACCAAAAAACCATTCACTAGGAAACATCGAGTCAAGAAACGTGACATATCCAACATATTCTCTTAATTCCGAGATAGGAATTCGTGACTAGAGAAAAAGCATGTCCTTTCTTCATACCCACTCAAGCGAGTGTATAAAAAGCGAACTCAATTTCTTCTCTCTACCACCTACGCAAACCAGCATCGAGAGTTCGCAATGGATTTATTACAAACCCGTAACTTCGCTCACGGACGACTCACCCATAGAATTCGTCATACCCAGCCATGGAGAAGACTATCTGGATCTCACTCACACCATGTTGAGCCTTCGCATACGCGTAGAAAGCGAACGCGGGGAGAGCACATCGGTCGCAGCCGCCGACGTGGCAAAAGTAGGACCCGTAAATCATTTACTGCATTCCATGTTCAACCAAATCGATGTATATTTCAATCAAAAACTCGTGTCGCCACCAAACAACGCTTACGCTTACCGCGTACATCGAGGCGTTATAAAATTATGCTTCACTCGCAAAAACTTCCCATCTAACCTCTTGCTTATGGGACGCGGATATTCCCGGCTACATGGACGACACGTTAGACTCGTCAAATACGGCACTCGAGAAACGCGCGAAATACATTCAAGGAAATCGTGCGCTAGATCTCGTAGGTCACCTTCACTGCGACGTTTTCAACCAAGATAAATTTTTAATTAACGGAGAGAAAGTTAGAATGAGACTCGTACGCTCGAAAGATTCATTTTGCCTTATGGAGACTAGAACAATGTCAAAAATACGTATTCTCGATGCCAGTTTACTCGTAAAAAGAGTAAAAATAAGTCCGGCTGTGCTACTCGCACACGCTAGAATGCTGAGTAAAACTACCGCTAAGTATCCCCTTACGAGAGTCGAAGTTAAAACATTCACGATACACGCCGACGTCGTGGAGGAATCGATAGATAATGCAATACTCGGACAGCTGCCGAAACGAATAATAATTGGATTTGTCGATAACAAGGCGTTTAACGGTGATAGAAAATTGAACCCGTTTAATTTCAAAAATTACAGAATAACTACAGAATAATTACAGAATAATTATTAAATATAGAAATATTTATTAAATACAGAATAATTACAGAATTACAGAATTTCTTTTCGCTGTACGCTGATGGCATGCAAATTCCCAGTAGGCCGTTACAGCCAAATTTTTCGAAAGACGTGCCGCTCTACGTTAAAGCTTATCACACAATATTCTCGGGAACTGGCATTCACTTTCTGAACGAGGGTAATTCTATAAGCAGAGATGATTACGCCAATGGCTACACTCTTTTCACTTTCGATCTTACTCCGGATCTATCCGCTAATTGTGCAGGACATTGGAATCTTGTGAAACACGGAAGCTTACGATTAGAAGTGAGATTCGAAAAAGCTCTTTCCGTGACTATTAATTGTATCGTCTATGCAGAGTTCGATAACATTTTAGAAATCGATTCCTCGCGTCAAGTCATTGTCGACTTTTCCGGTTAGCTCTATGCCTTTCGTGAGAAAAATATTTTCCCCCCACTACACATTATTTCTAATCTAATTCCACGTGAGATGACGAAAAAAGTTTCAATCTTGTTCGTGACACCAACGCTGACGTTTCGTGACATAAAAAGAGTAGCGAAAATTCGAATATATAATGGATATAGTCATCGACATACAAGGTTTTCGCGATGTCGAAGACAACTTTATTCCGAAAGAAATCGCGGTTCTTGCGATTAATGCGACGATCACCGGGCACTGGATTATGAGGCCACCTTATCCATTTGGAGAATTACCCGAGAGAGCAAGACGAGAAAACAACTTGCTTACACGAAATTATGACGGAATCGAATGATTCGACGGAGACGTTAATCCTACATACTTCACGATACATTTGCGAGCTATTACACGACACGCACGCTACATCTATACCAGAGGACAAGAGAAGTCACGTTATCTGAGTAATTTACTCTCCAGAAACGTATATAATCTGTAAGGAATTTCTCCGGCTTTCAAAAATCTGCCAGATTTCTGAGGTTGCGGACAACGTTGCACGCACCATGGATTTCGAACCAACGTTGAATCACATTGCACCTTACGCGACGCTTACAAATTGAAACGTTGGCTAGCTATACGAAATAGCAGCAATTCAAGCTACGATAGTCTTCCTTCAGAAAATTGCAGCAAGAGCGACGTCGAGAGCGAAAAACAAACAGCGGAAATTTTTCAATTCAATTTAATAATCAAAAAAACGATATATTTCGCAACATCGAGGCGTGGAGGAAAAATATCGTAACAGAAAAGGCGGACCAAAGTGAGGACGAACAAACGACAGCTGAGGAGAAAAAAGATTGTCCGAAATTCGACTCAACGACTGATAGAGATAAAGCTAACACTAGCGTTTCGCAAACGTCTAGTATTTTTGAGAACTCTACAACGCACGTACTGGCAAAAGAGGTAAATTCTGAATTTACGCATACATGTCCTCTCTCACGCTCACCTACGCCGAAAAATGAATTCACTGGAAGTTTCAAACGCCTTACATCATCTCAGTGTCCGACATGCAGGGGTATATCCTGCCGACCGATTGCCGAGGGTTTGGACGAGGTCGACTGCCATTGTCGCTAACACAGACGATCACGATCGACCTGGCCAGCACTGGGTCGCCTTCTACATCGACGAATACGGTACAGGAACATATTTCGATAGCTACGGCTTGCCGCCCTTGGACTCAAGATTCCTCTTACGACTTCGCCGAAACTCCATCACGTATCGCTGGAATACGACGACGCTGCAAGGAATACTTTCTCAAATTTGCGGACAATACTGCTGTGTATTTCTATATTTTATATGTAATGGTTATAATCTTAGTCAGTTTCTTAGTCTGTTTACCTCTGATTGTAAACGCAATGATCGATTGATTGCAGTTATTTCATAAATTGTTTCTTCGTTGTAAACGTAAAACAATTAATTCTCATGCTGTATGCCGTCATGTTCAATCGTCTACTCTTTTAAAAAGTAAAATATAAAATAAACGATTATTCTCGCGAAAGAACTATTTTATGTAACAACGTTATTTCATCAATAAATATCTTTTTTTCAATTTTGTCACTGTACGCCACCTCTATTATTTTCTTAATCATTTTCTCGTTCCCTTCCAACCGACATCTTCTTTTATCATATTTTTTGTCAGAACTAAATTAATAAAAACTTTTGTCATTTTTCGAAATAAGCTTAACGCTAACATAAAGGGTAAAAAAAAGAATTTATCTAAAACGAGTAAATCATCCCAGCTCTGTTACAAACAGGCACGAATTTGCCCATTCCTGTTTTCCTCCTGTCCTTCCAGACAAAAAAATCGGTCGCACAGCATTAAATAATAGAAAAATAAATAAGCGATAAAGGAAGACTCTCTTCATTGCGTCTAATCAGGACGCCGAGGTGCGAAAAAAAACGAAGGGCCATAAATCATACCCGCATTCCTCTCCGAAGCTTGAACCTTTCCCCCTTTTTCCCCCCTGGCAAAAAACTGTCTCGGGAACCTATTTTCTCTATCTCCGCCATTTTCTCGGACTTGGCGGTTTTCATTTTCACTTTCACTCTCTCTCTCTCTCTTACTCAACGCGCCCTCTCCCTCATCAATCGTAGCGCGGGCAGCCATGGAGCGAACCAATCGAAACGCGCCATTTAATTACCTTATTACTCCACCCTCGCGTCACCAACCAGTCAAAGCGCTCTCTTTTTCGAGACAAGCCCCTCTAGTCGTCTAGAAGGGAGTGGAGGGGGATTTGTTTTTACGTCTATGGGGGGGAAGAAGGGGTTTGTTTTGCCGCCAGAGGTGGAGTGGTGGGGGTTTGTTTTGACGCTCCATGGCTGCCCACATACTACTCAGAAATTATGTGAAGAGCCAGTTTTACAATATCCTAATTTCTCAAAACCTTTTATTCTAACCACTGACGCTCCTGGAATAGCCGTAGGAGGCATTTTGTCGCAAGGAGAAATAAACAAAGACCGACCAGTAGTGTATGCCTCACGAACGTTAACTGATAATGAATCGAAGTACGACACGTACGAAAAAGAAGCCTTAGCAATAATATATTGCGTTAAACATTTTCGACCTTACCTGTATGGACGAAAATTCACTTTAGTCACAGATCATAAGCCTTTGCTTTGGTTCAAAAATGCACAAAACATGAGGATACTCCGCTGGAGATTAAAATTAGCAGAGTATGAATATGATCTAGTATATAAGGCAAGTAAAATCATTGTAAATGCTGACACCTTACTCAGGAATCCGGTAGATCTCGAAGAGGAAAATTGCAATATAATCAATTACAATAAATTTTTTAATCCTGACAATCAAAAGGATGCAGAAACAATTTCCAAGATATTAGAGGAATCCGAAGAAGAAGAAGACGAAGATTTCAAACTGTATCTTTCCAATGACGAAAATATTGGAGATTCTGTACATGACAACGATTTACCTGACGAAAATATGGATTATGTTATATCCCGATAAAATCCTCTCTTTCGTTATTGTAAATATACGATTTATACCTTATTTTTATCTTATCTCTAGATTAGTATTTCGTCTTGGCCTTGATATTTCGTCCCTCTTTTATCTTTATTTCGAAACCGAAAATTCCTTTTCTCTTTTATAGGGGGGTATATTTAGTTCCTTTATTTAAACATTCAAACCAACAGATAAATCACGTTATGTACCTTTATGCGTCACACAGATTATCTACTCTAAAGAATGTCTAAGAATATTCAACGATCTTTTTCAAAGAAGCCTTTCTATAAAATAATAAATAAAAGCGTATATTAACATTATATTAGTGATAATGTATGTACATTAGCGTTTAGCAATTAAGCAATTAACAGCAAAATAGAAATCTTTCTGAATGCGAGGACGAATACCTTTTTCTTCTTTTTTTTTCTTTCTTCCAATAAAATTAAACCAATTTTAGATACCAGGTATGTAAATATGAAACCAGAATTTTTTAATAGAAAATACACGTTTATTGCATGAAAATGATAAAAAATATTTTATTCGAAGTATTACCCGTCGCTAGCTACACATTTTTCCCACTTGTCTGACCATTTGTGGATGTCACGCCAAAACAATTGTTGCTCTTTTGAGCTAAACCAGACATCTAGCCATTTTCGTACATCTTCGTAAGAAGTGAAGCGCTGAGCAAGTGCATGTCCCATCGATGCAAATAAGTAGTAATCGGACGGAGCCAAGTCTGGTGAGTAAGCCGCATGCGAAAGTATTTCCCAACCAAACGCCTCAATCGTTTCCTTGACCA